GAATCCGAGAACCAACAAATTAAATTGGTGTGGCCTAATGTGTATATGTTTTGCTTTTGTAGGCTGCTAAATGTAACATCAGAGTAGAGCTCATCGATGATAACTTTACTGAACTGCGAGGGGAGATAGCAGGACCACCAGAGACCCCATATGAAGGTTAGTCTACTGTTCTTTAAATTTATTTACTTATTATTGGTTTGGCTGTCAGACAAGGCTGCACAAACTAGCCTGTGGTAGCACGTCTACAGAACGTACAGCACAAATGAGCAAAACCCCCATTTTTCACGGTTTTCAATTGGATTTTTGGTCAACGTTGCATCACAATTTTGCCCGTTGCAGATGATATTTTTCCAACATAACATTTGGGAACTACAGATGGAGCCTTATATGCGCAAATATGACCTTATATGAGACATTCTGCAGAAGTGCTATGCACAATACATTATGACCATGTTTTTTTTTCTCTAAATTTCAGGTGGTAAATTTCTGTTGGAGATAAAGATACCTGAAACATATCCCTTCAACCCTCCTAAGGTATGTCATGTTTATTCCTATACTACCGACCCTAATTTTTTCAGGACTGAAACAGGAAAGACAACATTTTTTCCCTAGGCCTAGTAAGATTTCTGGCAACTTACAAAGTTTGCAGTAGTGCAGGTAATCTGTACTGACAAGCTGTTTTGACCTCAGGTGAAGTTTATGACTAAGATCTGGCACCCCAATATCAGCTCTGTGACTGGTGCCATCTGTCTGGACATTCTGAAGGACCAGTGGTGAGTAGTGCTGTGTACAGGTTCCCTGGAACTAGTGTTGTCTGTTCTTGGGGTTGGGAGCGCTAAGTCTCATATAAAAGAATGTACAACCCCCCCTCAACACGCTACGTTTAGAACTCTCAGGCACTTGACTTAGAACTCCCAGCCCCAAGAACAGACAACACTTAGCATGTATATATGGGTTGCTCATACAGTACCATCTATAATTTATTAAAGTATAAAAGTATATGTACGATTTGAGGGGTTTTCTTGTGCAATGCGTCACGCCACAGCGAAACATAATAAATGCGGAAGTAACTACACCACCGCAGGGCAAAAAAAGTCAAGGATCTATGACCTGATTAAGACATCAAATTATTTGAAAATCTTATGTAAAATAAATGCCAGCAGGAGATGCCAGCTCCTATTCTGAAATAACATTTTGTATCATGCTGCATTTAAAAGATGTAACTCTAGAAGTGTTGTCATGCTGTATGCTGATGCTGTTCCTCTGCTGTTTCCTCCCAGGGCAGCGGCTATGACCTTGAGAACAGTGCTGCTGTCCCTTCAGGCCCTGCTGTCCGCAGCTGAACCAGACGACCCTCAGGACGCTGTGGTGGCCAAACAGGTAACAGGAACAGCAGCATACATTTGTAGATGTATCATTCTTTGTGGAAAGGCCTTGAAATTCATTTTGGGTAATAGGACTCAGCAGCAAGGTCGGCTGGGGTTGGCTGGGTTCATGCAGCAACTAAATGTTTCCAAATTTTGTTTTCAAATTATAAAGGAAAATTGTGGACTATACATATATATGCCTCTTTTTTCTTCCACAGTACAAGGAAAATAGACCTCTGTGGGAAAAGACAGCCAGGCACTGGGCACAAGAATATGCTGAAGGTAAGAAAATTGCTAAGAGAGGCTGCTTTAACATCACTCCATTGAAAAAAGACTTGCTTCTGATTCTAGGTTTTGGTCAACGAGTAATCACTAATACAATTGCAAACAACTGTTCTTGATATCACAGTGAGTCGATGCAGGTAAAGGTTGAATATTTGTCACAAATGCCTACATTTTGTACATGGATGTCAATTGAATAATGCATGTACTACCTGTATGATCATAATATGTCGTTGAACAAAATTAGAAACTGTTTAGTTTTATGGGTCTTCCAATGTGTAAATTGTAGCCCATTTCTTGTAGTTAGTACATGTCTGACTTCTCTCTCTCTCTCCCTGCAGCCCCTAAAAGTAAAAAAGACGAGGAGTTCTATGACAAAGTATCTCAACTAGTAGAGATGGGGTTTGACCGGGTAAGTCCTGGGTATGTGTTAGCTATTAATGATAGTGTTTTGTTGTACTTACTCTTACTTTTTGTATAGTACTTCTTTCTGCTGTTCAAAATAATTTAGATGTTTTGTATTTACTTTGAATAAGGCATAGACTTGTAAAGGATACTTTGAACAAGGCAAGGTAGTCTTAAAGTTGTTGACTTATATTTATAATCTAATGATTCTTGATTCAAATCCCTAGCAGACATTGTGCCCTTGAGAAAGACACTTAACACCTATATCCTCATAGGACTCAAGTGAAAATGAGTACCTAGCTTCAGATAGGCATGTCCTCTCAAATGGAAGGTAAAGTTGAGGTCCAGTGTTTAGGGAAAGCCACACCTCAAGCACATTAGAGATCTCACCACACTTATCAAAAAGAGTACATGAACATATAGCTCCTTCCCAGTGTGAGTGAATCAAACCTCATAGTCTCTACTTCACGGTTTACCAGTTATAAAAATGAACTATCAAACAAAAAGAAACAAGGTCTAACTGTTTTTCCTGTTTTGTTTTTCCAGCACAGAGCATTGACAGCCTTGTCTGCACATGAATGGAACATAGAGAGAGCCACACAAGACCTCATCAGTTAATCCACACCCATCTCTGTAGCTCATCACCACAGTTTTTAGGAACTGCCAATCACCTGGATCCAACCAATCATCACTCACCATGCAAATTAAGTTTGTGGGAGGAGTCAGCTGTATGGGCCCCAGCTATATTTAAAGGCATCCAAAGCAATTTTAGGGCAGCAAAACAAAAAATATTCAGGATCCACTCTCAGATGAGGAAATCTGTCCAGTTTTTGCTGCCATTTCTTAGCACATTTGATACATGTACTTGAAGCGTTTGAAATGGCCAAAAAATAAGCTACGTGAGGAGTCCCTTTATCTTTAGGTACCGCCCATAAATAGCTAGAACCAGCCTATAATGCAAAACAACCAACAGTTTACTGTCAGCGACATGGAATTTTTGCTCACAGATATCAGTATGCTAGGTAGTACAAAATTAATGTATGATAGGACTTGATTCAACTTTCTACATTAAAAGAATGACCAGAAAATTGACCTTGAAAATCCAGCTTTGCTGCTTTGAAGTTGCATTGGAGGCCTTCAAGTTACAAATGTATGGCTGCCTTCCCTGCAGTATTATGAAGACCTGCTAGGTGTACATACACAAACTTTGATTTGTTAGAAAACAATGAAACTGAAGTCTAAGTTGACTGTAAATAGATTTCGTCCCAGCATCTTTGCCTGAGATAACGTCATATTTCGTGTCCAAAGAAATGCCGCTTATAAATTTGAGATTCGACACAAGTTTGATATGATGCTCAGTGGTATAGAAGGAAGTAAAAAAAAAGCAAAAAAAAAAACAAATTTAAACCTTTGGCAGTCCTACACAAAAAAAATCTGTAGTTTTCAGTGTTCTTTGAATGTGGCTATAAAGAAAAGGGCCTTTTATGTGCAAGTAAAGTTAAGTCATAATCGGGTCATAGTTGATTCAGGCTTTTTTCCATTGCTTCAAATGAAAGATACAGGTACTAGTATGTGACAGCTGCATTCTGCAAAGATACATGTAAATGGTGCAGGAAGTTTTCTGGGGTAAGTTGATGGGGGAGGGGGGTGTTAAATCTGTGCATGTACATATTTTGTATGTAAGTGATCACTGAAATACGTGTATTGTGTATTAGGCCTTTATATTGTAAAGCTTAAAAGAAAATGTTCGGACCCTACATGTAGGACAATGTTTGACTGGAAATACTGTACCTTCAGTTTTCTATTTGTTTTGTTATCCTGGATCTAGTGTCCATTATAATTACATTAACACATGCATACGTTAGTTTAAATTCTCTGATAGTACTATTAGTAATTTGAAAAAAAATGTAACTGGCTCTGGGAATATGTTATTGGTCCTGATGTCATCAAACATGCTCTTGACTGTATAAAGTCAAACTTTTGTTCCAACACAAGGCAATGTTCTCACCCAGAGCTTTTGACTAGTTACTCTGGTCTTCTTCAATAGACTGACCCAGTGAGGCTTGCCACGTGGCTTCTCTGAAGTGTGACGTCAACACTGGGTCAAGGGTATCCGTTGAAGGATGTCGGCCCCCGTCGAGGTTGAGCTACGTTGATATTCATTTACCAGATACCTTTGACCCAGTGTTGACGTCACATTTCAGAGAAGCCATGTGACAAGTCTCACTGGGCCAGTCTACTGAAGAAGACCAGAGTAACTAGTTGAAAGCTCTGGGTGCAGAACAATCCTTTGTGTAAAAACAAAAGTTTTAACTTTAAACTTGCAACTTTCAACTCAGATGAACTTTTAATGATGATTTGACAGCTTGATTTTTCACACATTATTGTAGATTTTTGGTAAGATATTTGCTCCATTGTCTGTATCACTGTCTTCTGGATCATGCTGCTGGTTTTATCCAATGCCATTCTTCACACATAAGTAAGCACGGCATTGATTTCTACACATGAAGCAGTTCTAATATGGTACCATTTGGGTTTGCTCCTGAGGTGTTGCCAAAATCCGTGCATTTTGTCAAAGATGATATAATTACATCCTCATCCAATCACACAAGTTGGTGTATGTGCACAGCTATGTCAACCCTTTGTACATCGTCATGGAAACATTTCCCACTTTTCTGTATTTCTAAGAACTGAAGATAAATGCTAATCTAAAAAAAGAAAAGTAGTTGTTTCTGGATCAGTTCTTACTTCTTACTCTTTGTTACTACTGGTATCATTAATGGTTAGCACGTTGGTAGAATGTACTGATTCTTCACAGTTTTCATTGGATGTTAGGTCAACGTTGCAAGAGAATTTTGACGATAACACACGGGAACACACAACAAAGCTCCTTCCTCCGGCGCTATGAAACCTGGGAATTTCCACCCCTGGCGCTATGCATCCTGGGAACGGGAAATGTTGACTTGCCTGACCAAACCAAACGCATCGATAGATG